TTTTATAACCAACTTTGCAACATTTGTATAAACATTTCATTAACATTTCTCACTTAACCTCCGCAACACTGAATTAAATTTTCATAAGCAACTTTGCAACATTTTATTAACATTTCATAATAAACTTTTGCAACGTTGCATTAACATTTCCTATCTAACTTCTGCAACATTTAGAATATCCTCAGTTTCAATGCCTCGTTCGCTTAATCCACTGTGTGTGTGTGTGTGTGATTCTGTTTTTCAGGTAGTGTCACTCTCTCTCTCTCTCTCTCTCTCTCTCTCTCTCTCTCTCTCTCTCTCTCTCTCTCTCTTTTTTCTCTCTCTTTTTTTTTTTTTTTTTTTCTCTCTTCTCCCCCTCCTCCTCTCCGTGGTAAATATTTGTGTTTGTCAAGGAAGAGATTCTCAAAATTACTTACTTGACAAGACATAGAGAATGACCCTTCCTCTTCCTCCTCCTCCTCCTCTTCTCTCTCCCTCCTTCTCTCTCCTCTCTTCCTCTCTCTCACTTTCTATACCACCCCACTCAGATGAATTTGCCCTCCCACTCCCAGGATTACCCCACCACTCGCCTCCCGCACCAGATTAACTCCTTCCCACTCAGATTAACCCCCTTACCCACTCAGATTTACCACCAACCCCTCTCACTCAACCCCACTCAGATTAACTCCCCTACCCCACTCATCTCACCCCTTTAACTCACCAAAGTAAACTATTAACGCCTCATTAACTTGCACCGGACCAACATTGTTATTATCTTGGTCATAACAAACTAAGACTTTTAACACAACTATTACATCAACTCTGTGGTAATATATTAAAAAAAGGTAATTATACTAAGTGTGTGTGTGTGATAATGTAAGTTTCCGGTGTGTGGATATAAATGGTTTAGAACAAAAGAGATGTGCGTTTGTATATCACACACACACACACACACACACACACACACGCAAAATCTCTATGAATAATTAAAATCAAGTTACGTTAAATTACAAAAACCAAAAACTGGTGAAAAACAAACAATAAATAAATCAGTGTCCCGTGACTACATAATCTGCGGACAACAACACCAAATTATTTTTTTAGCTGAATTAATAATTGAATACCTGGGCTTGTTACACCTGGGGGGGAGGGGTACCTGTCCCTTACTCTTATTATGACATTCTGTGTGTACCTGTAGTGTGTGTGTGTGTGTGTACCAGTGTGTGTGGGTGTACCTGTAGTGTGTGTGTGTGTGTGTGTGTGTGTGTGTGTGTGTGTAAGAGAGAAGATGAGACAGACAGAAGGGCCTTGAACACAATCTATCACTAAAAAAAGAATATTCGCACCCGGAGAGTACGTAAGCTGTAGAGGGAGAGAGAGAGAGAGAGAGAGAGAGAGAGAGAGAGAGAGAGAGAGAGAGAGAGAGAGAGAGCTTTTACATTGCCTGCCCGAATCTCGAACACACAACAAAAAAATATGATACTACAGTTGACCTGGATTGTGAAGTCCTGTTGTGAGGGATGGATAGGTGGATGGATGGATGGCTAGATGGATGGACGGAAAGGAAGTCAGATAGATAGATTGATGGGTGGATAGGTGGATGGATAGATGGAGGAATGGATGGATGAAAATGAAGTCAGATAGATGGATTGGAGGGTGGATAGATGGATGGATAGATGGAAGGAGGATGGATGGATAGATGGATGGATCATAATCATAAACACACACACACACACAAAAAAAACCTCTTCTCGTGTAAAACAAAAGAACACCCAAAAAAATTCCCACAACTGTCCAATAAAAAAAACTAAAGGAAAAACAAAAACAAAAAACAGCAACACACTCTTTTTGTTGTTGTTGTTGTTGTTGTTGTTGTTGTTGTTGTTGTTGTTGTTGTAGTAGTTTGTTATTTAGTTTTTTTCTCTCTGTGTGTGGTAATGGGTCGTGATGGCACCGCTAACTGCTGGCACTGTGACTACTAGTGCCACTTATGGTGACTCCTACTACCTCTCTGTCCACCTTTAATCACCTCTTTTATTGTCTTTTATTACACCTACGAGTGCTTCCTGCCTGCCTGAGTGAGGGGTGAGGAGAGGGAAGAGAGAGGTGATGAGGGGGGAAGAGAGAGAGAGGGAGGATGAGGGGAGGGTAAGGAGGAGGGAAGTGGTGAAGGGATGAGGGAGAAGGATGGTGAGGGAGGTGAGAAGAGGGAGGTTATTAGGGGTCAAGGAGGGGTGAGGGAAGGGAAGGAGGGGTGAGGGAAGGGAAGGAGGTACAGAAGGGACGTCCACACACACACACACACACACACACACACACACACACACACACACACACACACACACACACACACACTGTTCCTCATGCATCTAAATTACACAATGCCTGAATTTCTGCCATCCACAACACAGACACGTGACACCTTGTTTACATATGACGTCACGCCCCGCCAAATCTCATGAATAAACGTAGTAATTCATTCATGAGCCTTTTGTTTACGTTACATGTCCCTCTGGGGTTA